GTCGGAGCGATGAAGACAAGGCTGAAGCCCCACGAAGGGCACTAAAGGATGACGCCCGCCGAAAAGAGCGTGAGGATGATGCGCGCCATAAAGCGATGGAGGCTGAGGTCCGTCGCGCAGCGCTTGATGATGACGCTCGCCGGAAAGTTTTAGATCATGAGCACAGAAGGAAAGCGCAAGAGGCGGAGGCCCATCGCAAAGCGCGGGACGCCAACGTGCGTCAGAGAGAGCGAGATGAGGCGCGGCGTAAGGCGATGGAGGTGGAAGCGCGTAAAGATAAGGCATGCCGAAAAGCTATGGAGGCTGAGGCCCGTCGCGAAGCACAAGCCGCCGAAGTGCACCGGAGAGAGCGTGACGCTGAGGTGCACCGCGAGGAGTTAGGGGCCGAGGCCCATCGCATAGCTAAGGACGCCGAGGTACATCAGAAGGCACTGGAGATGGAGCCGCTTCGCAGTGCAAATGATCGAGATGAGTCGCGTACAAGGGACCTTGATGACGAGTCGCGTCGCAGGGCGCTAGAGGTTGACGCCTGCCGACAGGAGCTTGAGCAGGATGCGCGACATAAAGCGCTACAGAGTAAAGCTCGAAAAAGAGAGCATGAGGCCGACTTCGAAGGCCAAAGAAAAAGGGCTATCCACAACAGCGATAGACCCCCACCGATTGAAAGCTCTGTAAGCGCCTTTGTTAGCCTTAAATTAATCGGGCCTCCCGTTACGCCACAGGCAGAGACCGCTAGCACCGGGCGCCAGGAAACGCTAGCCAACAAATTGGAAACTTCGACTCCCCACAAAGATAAGTTGCTTCAGCCGCATAGAGTTTTGGCAGAGCCTGTCGAAGGCAATGCGCTTGTGAATAAGTGTGTCGAGGCTTCCACCATTCCTAGCCATTCTAAGAGAAAAAAGCGTCGGCAAAAGCGTAGCGCGGAAGAGACGAGAGGCATCAAACATGTTAAAGCAGCTGTTAAGTGCTGTGACGCCTTCATTCGATACGCCAGGTTCAGGGCTAGGCGTAGGATCGCGAAAGGGCCCTGCAGGAAATGTTTGAAGCTCAGACCATCACTGAGATGGAGATTAGGCGGGAAGCACGTCAACAAAGACCAAAATTCAAGGAAATTGGAACGCCGAAATCACCGCCTGGTCTCATCCTTTTCTCTGCCTTGTAGATGCAAGCAAGTGGGGAAACGTTGCGAGCGCTTGAGCTGTAACACAAGCAGTTTTTCCCCACCGTGGCGAAAGGGTCACTGGTTGAACGGGCGGCATAAACGAGGCAGTGCAGATGCCCTTTTCTTCGAGTTCAGCGGCTGCGGGTCAAAAGTCGCTGCTACTGAGTTCGGTGAACAGGTTGATTCGTCGCCCTTTTGTCCAGACCGCAATCCTCGAAAGCTGTGGAGTGCGCGACTCCCCAGAGTTCGCCTGAGAGAGTGCCGCCTTGCTAATACGAAGAGTGTATTTTTTGTATTTAAATTTTGAGAATAACCTTTTCTAATTTTGTTGCCCTCCTATGAGCTATGAGTGCATCTGAATTTTTGTAAGTTTTGCTTTCCTTTCAATTGTAGAAGCAGGCATTGATATGTTTGTTTGATTAATTTTGTTTTGTATAACGCACGCAAGTTTCATTCTTTCATTCTTATTTCATAATTTTTATTCTTACTGTCTGACTTTTCAAGCGTGTTTTATCTTGTTTTGATCATATTGGCTGCGCGCATTGAAAAGAGAGCTTGTAGGAGGACGAACTTTGTTAAGTTGACAATATGACGCTTGCAGGCGACGCCAATGTGCGTGATTCAGGATTGCTCGGCGTACTAAATTGTAGTTTTGGGGCTAAATTGAGCAATCCTCAGAAGCTTCGATCGTCCAGACTCTGCCTAAATCACAATTGAGAATCGCTTGAAAACAAAAAAAAAATTCTGTTTGGTTTAGCGGTGTCATGCACTGACACTTAGCTAAAGGTGTGTTTGCATTATGTATTCCTCCGGAGATTCGTTGCTCGTGATGCTATTTGTTAGCCCAGCGTAATCTCGAGGAAACATTTGGTTTCTGCTGGTCTGGCGACTTGATCAGCATTTGGAGGGTGCTTGCTTTGGCCAGAGTGGTTCGGCTTTGTGTTCGACTCCGTCATTCCAGTGAACCTCTGCAGGCCTATGGAAGTCTCAACGGGCGGAGAGAGCGGAACGGCTACCGACGGTCAACCAGCATCCCTCCTTCCGAGCCGCGCTGACGGCTCAAAACTCCGGATGCATTGTCTGGCGGCGGGGGTGCTGTTGTGCCACAGACATGTTCCTCGTTCGGGAGCACGTCTCGCAAGATCGAACCCTGTTTCGATGAACTGTCTCCCCCATCCCAGCGCCGCCTTCCGTGCAGAAGAACCGTGCAGTTCCGGGGATAACGTCGCTTCCTCCGCCGAACCACTTTGCAGTTCCGGGTATGGCTATATCTCCCCCTCCGAGCCCGAGAACTGGTCTGAGAGAATGGACCAAAGACGCTATTTAAGGCCGAGCCGGCCCCATGTTACAGATTTTGCCCCAGCCGACGTTGTCGTGCTGGCCGGCTCTGTAAAAACGACAACCTGCTACAGTAAACGCTACTTTTGTTGCTGTTTTCCAAACGGATTGCCTCCCTGTTTCACCTTCGGGCCAAGGCTTCAGCGAAGTCCGCTCGACGGCTCGCCGCTCTTCGCCACCGCTACCATCGCGACAGAGCAAACTCCTAACAGCATTTCCGGAGTCTTCTCGATGGTTGTAGCCTTCAAGACAAGCTCTTGAACTGATTTGGGTCGGTTCTGCACGAGCCCAGCGAAGAGGTCTTGCTTTACCCCTCGCATGAGCAAACGGACCTTCTAATTCTCGGTCATGTCAGGGTTGGTGAGTCGGAACAGGCGAATTGTTTCTTCTGCAAAGATTGTGATGCTTTTGTTTGGAAGATGCACCCGTCTTTCCAGCACAGCAGCCCTTTCTTTTCATTCCATGCACGTGAAGGTTTTCAGGAATGCGCCGCGGAACAGATCCCAGGTTTGAAGAGACGACTCGTGGTTCTCGAACCAGGTCCTCGCTGCGTTTTTCAGGTAAAAGACGCGGCGCAGCTTTTCTTTTGAGTCCCAGTGGTTTAAGGCGGCCACTCGGTCATATGGTTCTAGCCAGGTCTCCGCTTCTTCACATGAGGAACCCTGGAAGGTCGGTGGCTCTCTCAGCTGCTGCATACGTCCATTGCGGGCTTTGGTACAGGGACATCTATAATGGTCGCTGTAGTCGTGATGGCCTTGTGCTTGAAAATGTTATCAAATAGAGCCCAGCACTCTAAATGTAGCCCTCGCTGCCTGCGACTAGCTCGCTTATCGAGGTTGGCTTCAGTGTCCTCTTCATGGCGTGGGCTTGGCTCACAGCTGGAGGGGGGGCTTTCGGTACATAAGCTGGGAAGGACCTCTGCCAGATGTCACGAAGTCGTGACGCTGGCAAAGGTAGAGACGACTTGTCCAAATGAAAAGTGTTTATTTAATTGGCTGGACTTGTGGCCATGTAAAAGAAAAGTCAGAGTACAGCAAGACACTGGCACTTATAGCAGCGGGCGGAGCGTCGGCCGCCGATCAACTGACAAGCGGCGAAGTGTGTCAGAATTTATACACTTGTCATCGAACATTCTAGTGTTATCGCTAGCGGCAACGTAGGTTCAAGAATAATCTGAAAGGTTCACGAAGTGGGCGTAATCTTAAAAAAACTATCTACTACAGCCTCGAAGCTTCTCTAACAATGTAGGTGCGGTTTGCGCTGAGCATGGTGTAACGAGGCGAAAACAAAACTTGATGAAAGCAACGTGGCAATATTAAGGACGCCATCCATATAGACAGAAAAAAGAGAAGCAATGAGATAGGATCCTGCTGCCTTTCTTTTTTCTGTTTATGTGGATTGCGTCCTTAATATTTTTTCAATGCCTATGATCCGCTGTGTGGACAGGCCAGAATTTTTTCTTTTCTTTTTACAGAGGATAGAAGCAGTATGCTCAACTAGGAAATAATAATGTTGCGTAAACTGTGTGTATAGAGCTGCCCATGTGTTTCAAAACTTTTCCAGTGTGCCAGCAGGCTTCTTCACTGCCACAAGGAAAATCCAACTTATGGATCCAATTTTCTAACACTTTAAATGGGTACTAACACAAAATTTCGAGGATGGGATAGCCTGCAGGGTCGATTCCCGTGAACATTTGTATATCATCTGCAAAACATCAACAGCAAATATAGCTTGAAAGGTATTTCAAAGTTTGCGAGAGCACTCGACTCCATCATGCCATCAACATCCTCGAAGGGGACCTTTTGGGGACCCCCTACTTCCCTCACGTCACCACCCTGCATTCAATAAAATAAGTTATGATGATGTCCTAGCTGCCATTTTTTTTTTTGCCGCGTTTGTTCCCGCAGTCTATACTTCTCGGCAGCTGGTCGTGAGTGCGTGGCAGTGGCGCACGCTTTGAAAGTTTTATGTTTGGCGACACTGGAGTCCCGTTTCTAATTAGAAAGTAATTCTTGACGTGAAACGTGCAGAAGTGTGTCACAGTTCTGTGTGCTGATGTGGTCGAGAGCTGTACAAGCTAGGTGGTGATAGTTGCACCTGGTGGCTTCTCATTTTTGAAGCTCTCTCTCAAACTGAAACTGGTTGATAATGAGGGGCCTTTAATTTATTATCTACCACGTGCTGCAAAAAACAACGTGTCGGGCTATGACTAACAGGCCTCCGGCAACACATTGCAACAGAAAAACGCAAGGCCAATGTTTTTGCGTCAGTACCCCATTAATAAGCAGCTGCTAATATTTGTTTGGTTTAGCTGCAATTCTTGCTCTATATTCTCAGGGTATTCTTAATGTGTTTTGAAAACTGTAGAATATAAGAGGTAATTTGATGTTAAGGGGTTTTACATAGCCATCTTCTACTATAGAAAAATGCGCCGCCAGTTTGTGGCAAACATCACACATTAATGAAAGGCACGGATGACAAAGCTAAACCGTGCACTCACCAGGGCATTGCAGAAGGCGACAGCGGTGAATGCGACTAGGACGCCGAATGCAACGTAGGTGACAGCGTGCACCCAGTTGCGCTCGGCACGCCAGGCACGCAGTTCCCGAACGTACAGAAACCGGTTCCGATACTCTGCCGGCAGCTCAAACTGCGACGGTGTTGGGAAAAGGCTCTCGTAGAAGTCGTGAACGACTAGCCGCACCTGCAGACAAGTTCCCATAGTTTTTCTTTTCTTTCTTATATTGTAGTATGTTGCTACAAGTGTATTACATCCAGTCCCTGAGTCCATGTGTCGCGTGGCCGACAAAGAGACGTTTCTTGATTAGGCTCTGAGCTGAGCCAGTCAACACTGCAACCGGTCTTTTAAATATATTTATTACAATCTCCAGTCTGACTTCCTTGTCATTCATGCAAAAACATTGCCAATTTCTTTTTCTGCAGTTATCAGTGCTCATATTTATCAACATTTAGTAAGGGTCACTTATTGTGCCATAAATAACAAGACCCTGAGGTTAATAAATGGTGGGAGGTTTAATCTGAACGGTTTAATTAAACAGAAGCAAATATTTTTTAGTTGTGATGTTTTTTGAATGTGCAATTAATTTGTCTTAAAAACGTTCGAATATAGTATACAGTAAATGCTGCAATGCCATGCTTGTGCATCGAAAATAAAAGAGTCTTAAACAGTAACTGATATCTAGATCTGAATATATATTTAGTGTTAGACTGTGCCTTTCTAGGGTTATTTCAAAATAAACGGCCCTTTAAGCCATTATTAAACCATCAATGTCCCCATTTTAGTCATTTCAAAGAGTTAGCATGTTTTTGTCATTAGAGTTAATATTATGAAGCAGGCTTTAATGAAAGTTAGAATTATTGATTTGGAAGCACAGTAGACTGTCATTAAACGAAGCCTGAAAGGGTCAGGAAAGACGTGTTCCAACAGGAGTTCCATTTACCGAGAGATAAACAAGGGTGCAGAGCACAAGTACGAAATTCATCTTGTCAGAAGCACTTACTGCATCTGAACAGCGATTCCGTTTAACAGATTTCTATTTACTGAGAGTATACTGTAACAAGGAATTGCCATCCAGGAACGTGTATGGCAGTAATGGTGCCAGTATGCAGTGATATAAGCCCGCTGGTGCGCACACGCTTGAGCCTTGAAAGCAGGAAATGAACATTATCTGCAGTGATGACACCGCCATGAGTAAGCTGTTTTCAGTTCTGTGTCTTGAACGGTGTGATCCTAGTACAGTAGAATCCCGATGATATAAATTCGAATGAACCAAAACAAAGTTAAACTTGATCATGAAGAGGAACAGGAACTCTATAGCGGTCAACTACTACTTGCTCAAAAATTCCATGACCTTTTGAATTTTTTTGCCTTCACTGCCTCTCAATTAACGGCCACAATTTTCTCACTCATGCTGCTGGCGCTTATAGCTCGTTCACTCTAGGCATAAAAGAGAGGGAAAGCAGCAAAACTTATTGTAAATTCACTTGCTTCCCCCCTTAAGCGGCCAGAGAAATGCGCCGCAATGTCGACTCGAAAAAAATCTTTCACGCAGGAAAATTCAAGTGAGAACGCCAGAGTTACTGCGAAACCACGTCCACGCATGCCGAAAATTGTTCCCATTCTTTCTGCTTACCACCGCCGCCTTCACCACTCAAGAATTCCTTCCAATTTGCCCATTTCCTGAGCATTAAATTTGTACCAAGCTTTAGTTATGCATGGCAAGCACTAAAAAGGAAACTGTTTAATACGGCACAAATGTTATTTCGGGAGTTACGCCAGCAGAAACGACATGAGCGGACACACCGGCAGCGGTGGTGGCGGATTTAGCTGGCAGTACAAAAGCGAGCGAGACACGTTAGGGTATGCTGACTCGCTGCTGCTGTACCTTCTTCTACTTCCACTGTTCGCAGGGATCGCAATCCAAAGCCGGCTCTCAATGGACGCGTCCTCGTCAAGGCCATGAGCTTAGTCGCGCTGCGCGAGTAGTTCGCGATTGCGCCGACACGAGCCACCGCTGACGCCTTTGCCCCTATGTTGAAATTGCGGCTCGTTGTCTAATTCACATAACTTGAGACCTAGTGCTGCTTGTGTAGCCCATGCCATGAAGCAAATAGGCGATCTGCTATCGCGTGGCAGAAAAATGGGTTGCAGGCAGATTTTTCTGCATCAGCCTTCCACTTAGGTGGTGAAGCAGGAAAAATTCCCGTGAGTTTTGCCACATTCACTCCCTTTGAAGCACAGTGTTAACACGTCTTCCCCCCACAGACAAACCACGATGCACCATTCATGTGCAGCGGTCCATTGTGCGTTCGTATTATCTGCTGTGGATAGAGAGCTCGTTCGTATAACATTAAATCACGGCGTAATTTGTATAATACAGTCCATCCGAAGGACTTAAATTTCATATCACGAAATTCGCATTAACTATAATCATATCATCGAGAATCTACTGTAGCTGTAACGAATGGCAAAAATATGGAATAAAAAAAGGGGCGCTTGACTGGGCTATTTGGTAAGACACACAGAAATTAAACAGCCTTGTGTAGATATTGCACAGTTTACATGCATCAGCATGAAAGCTGGAATGAAGTGACCATGGTCAGTGTACTTACAAGGTTCAGTTCCTTGCTGGAGTAGTCCAGATTGTCATTGAGGCAGATGAACTTCCTGCAGGAGATGAGAGATGACAAGTGACTGATATCTGTTTATCCCTGTTTGGTGACTTACAGACACAAAACAGTGCAGAGCCACCACTTTCATGATCCGGTTACTACGTAGAGCATGTCAACATGGATCAGGAAAACATTCCTTTGATAACTTGGGATTCCCTTCCCATTTGATAACTTGGGCTTTCCTACCCACTTGCCTAAGTAATGAGTGCATGTGTCTTCATTAGAATGGTACCCAAGTGCTAGCTGTGCGTGATTAGACTACATTTTTCATGTCATTACGAGCAAACTGCTTATGCAGGCTGTTCGAAAAAACGTCTAGGCCACACTCAATAACGCAAGTGGTCTAGAAGGGTAACTGGTCGGGAGATTATGAAAAATGGTCTGTTGCAACAACTGTACACTGTGGTGAGCCTCAATGTTCACAACAGTGTAGACAGCTGCCAGGCTGTCTTTGGAAAACAATCGTCTTCTAGTGGAACATCATGACTGAGAAATGGCTACATGCCCTCGAGCGAGCAGCAGCTCATGAGCACTAACACTTTCAAGCTTCAAAGGTAGCACATCTTAAATAGTAACAAGTTGGCTCTTGCCCATAAGTATTATTCCAATTGTGATGAGCTCTGTGAGAGATATGGCATGGTCGACCTATGAACCATAAGCATTAATGGTAAGCTTGTCCATTGGAGCAAAATGGAGAGTTTTACCTACAATTTCTGTCACTCACTTTGGCACGCGGCGCAGTTCATCGAGCTGCATGAGGACGCGAGAGGCGTTGTTGTTGAGCATGCGGAAGACGTAGTCCTCCACCTTGACCGTCTCAAAATGATTGGAAGGTACAGTGCGTAATGCTTTTCGCAACAAGGACAAGATGGGCTCACACTTCATCACCGCTTCTTTGGTAATTGTGGGCTGAAAGACAGGAGCACATGGAAAGAAGAGATGTGGAACTCAGATGTTTGAAAAGTAATTTGTTCTTAGACTAAATGCCCTGGCACATGACTATGCAATTTTAGTACATGTAACAGAGGCATGAAAAATTCTGGACATTCGAAACTTTGCATGCGCATGAATGGCACACTGCCCAATGCTTTCTCTTGGCTTCGCTCTTTCTTCATGCTGGGCATTCAACCTTCATCCACGTACTTTGCAGCACAACACTCCCCTTTCTACAGGCAACAATGATCATGAAGTCATAGCCAGGCAACAATAAAACGCATCAACTATAAATGGCGAGCCTCCCCAATAACCTTTATAAAGATTAGACTGCCATATCAGAAACAGCCGACTGCTGACAAGCCCATAATCTTGGCCACATCAATTAGAATCTGCACATTACCGGCATTTCTTTCATCTTATGGGCGCCAGTTTTTTTTCCAGTTACACCTACAACACCAACGACACTTCTGAGGCGGTGCAAACTTTGTTTAAAAAAACACAATTCTGCAAAACCAGCAGCCTTCTGTTGTCCAGTCCCACATTCTGCTTGTTTGCGGTACAATGGCTCAGCTGGACTCAGCCAGCAGCAGCAGATATGATTCTGACATATAAAGTCAACTTCTGCAACTTACTAAGCTGTTGGGTCAGTAAATACTGGGCAAGAACTTTTACAGACTGAACAAAAAATAAAAAGAGCAGCAAAACCCTCTGAAGTGCCCCAAGCTGTTTGCGCTAGTTGGTTATGCGGAGAGAACATAAATTAAGCGGGGATACAAGAAGAAAAATGCAAGTTTTTACCCAAAATTACACATAATAGGTTTTTGTTCACTTTCACAAGTTTGGTGTCTTTACTATTAAAACAAAAAAACTGAAGATTGTAATTAAACTCTAAGTAGGTCCAAATATTTTTTAAAGACCACAAGGTGCCTACTAAAAACTAAAAAAAGTCTAGAGTGCCCTAGAAACTGTCATCTGGTTGCTTGCTATTGTATTTCGCAAGAGGAGTTCACTGAAACCATTTGCTCAAAACAAGAATAAGTACCAAGCTGTCATGAAGAAAACAATTATTTTAAAAACATATCTTTGCCACACAGATGAGCTTTCACTTACCATATTTATTCGAATCTAGGCCGATAGTTTTTTATTTGAAGTTTTCTTGCATCAAACTCCAAGGTCTGCTTAGATTCGAGGATAATAAAAAATGTAGCATTTTTCATTGAGAAAGTCAGTGCACAACTAGCGTCACCTAGACAGCATTACGTTATACAGTCGAACACGAATATATCGAACTTGAAGGGGATCACGAATTAGTTCGATATAAAAGAAATACATGCCCTGAAAGCTTACCTGTAGTGGATCATCAACTACAACAAGTGCATTCAAGAATGACAACTAATTCCACACACACACACACACGGCAACAGAATAATTTATTTGCGTGAAAAAAATCACTTATCTTGGCCTGCTACGTATTTGAAATGTTGAAGACGGAATCCGCGATCTTATCAAGGCTGTCCAGGTGCGACACCCTGGTTTCCTTCATGTGGCCGATACAACGGGGAATTAAGCCAAACGCTGCTGCCATTCAGCAACAGAGTATGCGCGTGTAGCCAGCTCCTCGTATGGACGATCCTCCTCGATCGTCACATGAGCTGTCGGCCGGGGCATCCCGAGTCCCTGCAATTGCAGCAACTATTTCCTTGTCAGCGAGGTTCACAACAGCCTGGACATTGCAGTCCACTTCGACGAAACTGTCCTCAGACGCTTTGTGTGGAACTACTGCTGAGAAGCAGGACGACAACTCACGAAACGCGTTGTCTATGTGGTCGTCGTCTTCTTCATCGGTTTCCGCAAGTACCGCGGTCTCAAAGCCTGCTTTGAGGAGCAGTTGACCACTGTGTCCGTCTTCCCATCTCGCCAGATTTTGAAGATCTCCGCAAAAAAAACTTGGCGGAGATTTCCGGCCACTCCATCAGCCACTGCTAGATTTCCTGGCTGCTGACAGCTTCGCTTTCGCCGGAAAGTTTTGCCAATGTTGTTGTAGCGCTGCTTAAATTGGTGAAGCGACCCGGTGTTGTCAGTGAAGGTGTTTCAGCGATTGCAGCAGTAAACCATTTCGCCTTAACGATCGGCATCAGGCCATCCACCGAAACGTTCTTCGATCACACTTCTAAAAATCAGGTATATGGGGCCTTTTCTAGTTTCCTGTGGGCAGGAACGTGCACATGACCGGCTCCCGAAGTTAGCTGCTCCGCCACTTTTGCCTTGATATCTCCTTTGTTCTTCAACAAGGTACTCAGTGTGCTCTGTAGTATCCCGAAGCCGCCCACGATAGATGAACATTTCATGCCTACCTCAACACGCTGAATAGCCTTCAACTTCGTCGCAAAGTCAAGGGTCTAGCACTTCTCTACGCTAGCCATAGCTACACGAAAAGTTGACAATTCAAGGAGTCCGCAGCGGCTTTGCACACCACGCACGCAAAAGAGAAATGCTGCACATGCCGTGGTGCATAGACGACGTGCGAACGAGGCAACAAAGCGCTTGCGAAGCGATGGCCAAAGAACACCTGGATGGCCACCTGCGAGGGCAACAATAAAAGGCAGAAGCTGTGCTGGGTTGATCAAAACTCGCAAAACAGCAACAAAAAATAAAAGAGAAGGCTAAAGGAGGAGGACGTCAGCTCCTTCATTCCTGTTGTTGGGTACGCAGAGAAAGAATGAGAAAGAGAAACAACAAAAAAAAAAACATTCCGCAAGTTAGAGATTGTGCAGTCCGAGCCCTCTCGCCTTTACCTTTTTTATGAGGGTTTCGCGTGTTCGCGAAGGCGTGGTGCCGCGCGGAGGTCGCCGGGCACTGTGAGTGCCAAAGCGCACCTTCCAACTTCCGCGCGGAGCAGCGCTGCCGCAAATATTGCGGGACGCGGCGAGTGCCAAAGCAGTGCTGAAGCGCACCTTCCAGCTCGCACTGCGTTTGATATATCCGAAGGCGGGTAAAAGTACCGTTCGATATAAACATGTGAATTTCTATACTTTTACAAAGAAACTTTAAGGGAATGACCTACGAGTTTGATGTACCCAAAAATTTGATATATGTGGGTTGGATATATCCGTGTTCAAGTGTAGCCGCTAGCAGCCAAACCGACACCTGGCTTAAATACACACGTGAGCATAGAGTTTCCTAAAATTAACTAGAGGGCACTCTCGCACTGCCATCGTTCAGCGGCCATCGGAATGATGGGTGCCTAGTCACACATTTACACATTTGGGAATGATGGGTGCCTAGTCACACATTTGCTTAGTCTTCGTACTTGCGGGCGGAGAATCGTACTTACGGCTTCGTTTATTGCTGTGTTTCAATTTTTTATTTTTTTTGAAAAAAAGATTGAACCATTTTGAACTTCGTGAGCCGATTTGGAAAGTCTAAAAAAATAAAATGGTGAAGTGCAACCGCTGAACATTTCCTAATACTTCTTTCGTAAGAAAACAGCTCCAACTTCCAAGCCACACGAACACACACGGAGCCAAAAGCAGGCCAGAAGTACGAATATTAGACAAATGTGTGTACTACCCATCATTCCCATGCTCGCTGAAGCGTCGTGCGTTGCAGCTCCCATAGACACTAGCGCCAGAGTTCCCTCTAGTAAGTATTGTAGGAAACTCTACGCACGTGAGGCCACTATTTTGATCAATGTGGCAAGTGCTGAGGCGAGCACTTCGGGTCGCACTTCGAGTGGTCTGTCTGCCACTTAGCTCAATGGCACCAAACAGGAGGTGTCATTATAGTGCCACTTATGAAAGGAACGTTGTTCTTGCCGCAAAGTCGTCATCCAACGTTCAAGCAGGGCAGGACTTTGGAGTGGAGAGTCGCTGGAAGGGCTGCAGCGTGGGACGACGACCAGGGAAGGTTGATTGTGCACTCTTCCAAGAAGCGCAGCATATCCAATGCTCTTGATGGCACCGAGGATTGCGCATTGTTTGAGGACAGCGACAAAGAAGTCATTGACGAGAAAAGCAGGAACGAGGACTTGGATAAGCAGCACAGCACCTTTATGATGCAACAAGAAGCAGCACAAAAAAAAAAACGACAAAAAAACACACACAACAGGACTAGTGGCTGTATGTTTCTAAAGTTATTTTCATCATGAACCAACTGCTTAGTTTCATCTTCATGCTCAATAAATGCTTTCTCTTTGTGAATGCTGTCTTCAATGTTTCGTTCGGCCCATATTCGAGGTAATTTTTTTTTCTGCGCTTCGGACTTTTGTGGGGTCAGCTTAGAATCGGGGTCGACCTAGATTCGAGTGAATACGGTATACCTTTAACCCTTTACTGCCTATTGTCGCGAATCTGCGACATATCAAAAATTTGAGCAAGCAAGTCACGCAATGCGTGATGCCTTTAATGGTGGTTGTCAAGCACTCACATGGAACGTAGCTTTCAGCATGAAAAATATAGCGCCGTCTCGCCTAAGGTATTTCATGCTAACCCCAATTGCTCTTTAGCTGATGGCAAAGAGCATGAAGCACGTGTAGCAGCTCTCACTTCTTCATTCTTTCCCGCCTGGGTGACGTAAGTTCTACCTTCAATAATTTTGTTTGTTTGGTGTGTATGCAACAAGTGGCACACGAAATGTTATATAAATCTGAGGTACATTTTTTGTTGCAAGGTCCTCACTTCTGTGGCATATGGAGAATTCGTCACACACATAAAAGTATGCATTAAAGTTGCATTTTAGACAATTTAACTGCAGAATCATTTAAGGGTTGATATTTAGAGCTGGAAAATGAAAACAATCTTTATTTTGTTAGTCAACTCAATAATTCAGGCATCGATGGTTAAAATGTGTTTTTCTCAAGATCTAGTTTTGGGCAACTTGAGTTCAAACACCACATTTTTGGTACTTCTGACAGCCAGATCGTGATGAAATTTTTCCTCCATATTCTGTAACATGCGAAGAGTGCAAGCACTATGTCCTTTAAAACTTGATATAGCCTGTATAATTATTACAAATCTAAAATAGGCAGTTTGTATGGGCTGCAGGTTCCAAGAATTCTCACATTACAATTTTTCTTGAACATTAAAATGTTTTATAAGCACTTTCTTGATAGTTATCTGCATTCTACAGTTAATGTAGAACAATATATGAATCGTTAAAGGCTCAGAACCATAAATGTTTAGTGGCATACAAAGCTTGTCCAAAATGAACTAGGTATACTTTACACTTTACACAAAACAAAAACTATGCAACTCACCATAGGACTAATTGCATATTTGAAATCAGCATAAAACCCTATATATACGGTACATCCAAATATTTATCATCCCCATAGGCTACAGATTAGCGAAACCTTTTTTTTTTTTCGTATCACATCTTATTTTGAAGAACTGTCGGTTGCCATACAAGACTGGATAACGGTTAGGTAACAAGATGCAGAGTACTTGATCACTCTTCTGCACTGACTACAAAACAAAACCACACTTCACCGAGACAAAGTTGAGGCTACAGTTTGATGAATTAAGCCCACGATGCTCAATGCTCCCCCAGTGTTATGCAGTAAAAGCTTGTCAAGGTGACCATCCATAATGAGAAAAATCGAATGATTTGGACTTTTGTTTGTCCCAGCGAGCACAGGCATTATTTTTTGGCATGAAACTGTCATTGATTTGCATATTGCACCTCCATGCTCAGCTGTACATGTGTATCCATGTTTTGCATGTATGCGCCCAAATAAAAAAAAAATGTATTTCTGCACTTGTTTTGTCTTAGTAAATCAATTCCTGTTGTCTGCTGTCTGTCGGCTCTGCCTTTCAAGTCCAATGAGGCTATGGCAGGTTAATTTTGTACTAGATTGTTGCTGTCTCAAAATGCCAATAAACAATTATTATTATTATTATTATTATTATTATTATATACCTCAAAGGCTAAGTTCATGAGTATATCTCGCAAATCATCCATCGTGTAATTTCCATACTCTGTCAACACCGTGTCATTATGTAATGTTTATGAGATCAGTTATCTTGGCATTCTTTTCGATAGCATGCTAAATTTTTCTGCTCACACTGAATGTGCTGCTATGCGAGGCCTTCGATCTCTCGGTTGTGTTTGTAGAATCTCTCCAGCATTCAGTTCTCCTACAGCTTCCATATATTGTACACAGAAATATGTCTTCCTCAACTGGAGTATGCATCTGTGATCTGGAATGGCATCACTAATCACTAAATCTAGCATCGACACCACGGAGTGAGCCCAAAAAAAAATCATAAGTGTTTACACCATTCTTTTGCTATAAATGACTCTGGATCTCGTTCCAATACTGCCAGATTATTATCATTGCCATCACTTCACTGCCGACGAAATCGTGCTGACCTCTTATTTTTTTACAAACTAGTTCACAGTATGATACCCTGCCTTTTGCCTCTCAGTTACATAAATTTTCGGATTCCAAGTAAGTTAACCAAAGAGAATCGATCATTTAATGTACTTGCCAACTTCTTTCAACACTATACTGCTCACAGAATACTAAGTCTATATAATGTTAACTTTCATGACCATGCTGTTTTTCACAGTCCACTGTCATTGTTTTTATCTCAGCTTTGCACTGTCTTAAGATAGTTTTTCACAATGTACAGGTTTTTCTCTTTTCTGTTTTTCAGCAAACCTTTCACATAGCTGTGTATATTCCCCTTTATTTTTCATTGCCATTTCATGATTTTCACTTGTCTTTTATTTTTCCCATTCTGCACTGATTTCTTTTTGTCTGTGTGTTTACGCTCTTTTTATTTGGTTTTTTTCTGTAGCCTGTATCGTATTGTTTATTTTTATTGTTTTATTTTTGCTTGCACCAACACAAAGACCTTATGACTGTTCCTGAGTGTGTTGAATAAATTATTTATTGATTAATTGATTATTAATATATATTTTGCCCGAGCCCTGCTAAATGAAACACCCCTTCAAGTGCCCAGCCCAGCAAGCGCATGACAAACTAATACGAGAATCGTGTTAGCATCCAAATGAAATCAGGCACAATCCAGTTCATATCGCCATTGCCCTCAGTGCGAACTGATGATGACAGGAAAGTGAGAATGTGCATTGCCTATACAGGGTGTTTCAGCTAAAAAGCAGCAAACAATAAAAATTAAAAATGAGCACCACGCATCTCCAACTAGTGCGGTATCATTCTTAGTTGTATGTAGTGCATCAGAATATTTTTCTTGATCTGCCAAGCACAGTAACTACCAAAATTGCTTAATGAATTTCTTAGAAATTTCAATATGCAACTTGTGGCCCTTATCCAAACACAACAAAATTTTCGATTCATGGTAAAAAAACGCTAGGTAAATTTTTTTCCAGGATTTGTTTAAAGTGCACGAAATTAGTAGCGTGATTTTCGACAGCTGTGACCTCACGGACGATGCTCTCTCAAAGCGAAGATCCGTCCACTGATGAGGCATACTGGAGCAACATGACAAATTCAGCCAATCAGAGACCTCGAAATGAACTTGCTTTTTCGCACAAGATAGGACATGGCTGAAGCGGGAAACCTGAAGACTCTCCTTTTAGCCCATAATGGCGGTGCTCGCTCTTTTTTTTGAGAACAAACATGTTGGAGTAAACTAGTTGAGAAATAAGTAAAACATGCATACATTAGAAAATATTTTATAGGCACTCATATTTCACTACTGTACTTAAAATCCCTCTCCAATAAAAACTTTATAATTGGTACTAGCCTAACGAAAATGGCCTGCCCACCAATCATTTCAGCCCACCCTACTCATACATGCCAGTGGAAACAAATGTGCAGTTCAACCTTGATATAACGAAGCTAATATGAAGTGTCAATTCTCTCATTACACAAAACCTTTAGTAAATTGAAATATGACCTCTCATGCAAGTTCATAGTTCCCAAAGACTCCCATTCTGAACAGTTATTGCCAGGATAACCTTTAATTATTTAGCAATACAAAAAGATCAATTCACAAACGTTATAAAAAATTTTTTACCCAAGATTCGATTACCCACGATTTTATGCACTGGCAAAGTGAAATATTTTATTATAAAAAGATTTAAATTTAATAAGCTCTTCATAATTTTGTTGAATATGACAAATTGAAATAAGATAGACTCATCTGATAAGCATTCAAGCATCTAACCTTTTCTAGGTTTTAGTCACTAGTCGCACTTACCAGTTTAGACTCTAGGTAGCGCTCATAGGACGGTGTAGAGGGAACGATGGCAGGGGTGAAGTTGCGAGCACATTCTGTCAGGTGCTCTTCCACCTTACGCGAGTTGGCAGCCTCCATGGGCAGCTCAAAAATACGAGTGACTAACGTCCGGATCTCCCGGTCAGACCAGGTCCTGCCGTCAGGAGAAAGAATAACGACCTTTATTGACATGTATTATGACAGACACATTGTTTGGCACGCAAACAAAATAATGCTTACAAAGGGCATGAAGGGAAGTCGGATTAAAGGTCAGAAGATAGTTTAAAAAACTTTAAAAGGAGACTAACTCATGTATTGAAGTCCCAACATGTCCCCTTAATGTGCAAGTAATAATGAACCTGCATAAATTTATTGTAGCCACTAAATTCCTAGGCACTTGATGATATTCTAATGAAGAATAGGCGGCAGGCAATATGTTATTTCTAGCAACCTTAGGCAATTATTACCAATTAGTAGCAACTATATAATTAATTATTCAGTCTCAATCCATTTTCGCAAAGATCAAATATAAAGTTGAAAATGCATGCTCAATTTGTTTTTGCAGGTATACATTCCGAGCAAAGAAAATTATACTTTTGACGATAGCCCTGTAATGCAGCTCATCGAACAACCTGTCCAAATATTGTAAGTGCCTCCACCAAACTAATCCGCTGTGGTCATAAGCAGCACATCGAGATTAAGTTGAGAGACATTGACTATGAAGAATGCTCAATTCATCCTGTGTTCATTGTGTTTCCCTCTTTGTTGGCCACTAGTTTAAAAAACTGGCAGTAACAAGTTTCAACCACAAATGTGCAAAGTGTGCCTGAACAAAATATATTTAGGTGTTCAATGCTCCCATGTGTCTTCAATGAAACGGGCCCCGCTTACAGTATTGTGGGTCATGGCAATTGAGTGGGCATGACTGAGCTTAAACAGGCAGTACCTTTGCTCCAAAAAGTGCGATACTCGTCAAAACTCAAAAACATAAGTTTTTCCGCAAATACGACCAAGTTAATTAACTGGGTCAACTGATCTACACTGCAAAAGTAGCAGGAAATGCACTCATTAAACACCCTGCCTGCTTTCGTCAACTCTGAGAAATGGAAGCACTCGATGGAGAGGAGGTGTCCTATCTGCAAAATTCATTTTTTCAACGATCTGCATGAAGTTGTTCAGGACCTCCTTAATTAAAAACATCTGCAAGCACTTCCCCGTTTTGAGTTTCACCAATTGCCTATGTTCAAAAAGTAGAAGAAAGTTTGGTGTTTCAGTGTATACTGCACAACTCAAAAAGCAGTCACTCTGTTTGCACCAAGAGTGCCAAAGTCACACTGGGAAACACAAATGACTGTGCTGGCTCTTGCATCAGCAACAAAAGTGTTGCTGCTGCGGGATCATCGAAATGGCTGCACTGGTAGTGTCAGTTAATGCTGTTTCGAACCTGCATGCAGAAGAATAAGTAATACAATAAAGGGTTCCAGTGATTTCAATTTCAGGCACTTTTAGAAATTTACTTTATCAGGTATACGAAGGCCAGCATGAAGAAAACTATCATCTGCTCCCCAAAGAGATTCCCTCCCTTCAGCTGCTCAGCGATCCACTTTGTTAGTAAAACCACTGCAGTCAAAAGATCCCTGCATTCTTTGTTTTTCTATGCTATTCTCAGTCAAAAGGTATGCTGCACCAGAAGCTTCTCCTGGTTCCATAAGCAGCTTTAAATACATAGGATCCTGCTTGGCCAACTGTAAGAAGGGTTTGTTTGTCCACTACTGTGTGAGCACTAGCTGTGAAGTGACCCTATGTATGGTACATGTCACGTGGCTGTAAGTCGATTTGCATCAAGCGGGGTTATGCTCACCCCGACTTGTCAACATCAAATATATCAAAATACTCCTCCGGCAGAATCTCGTGTTTCTCGCTCATCAAGAAGTAGAAGTAGGAGAAGGCAAACTGCATGTCGTCGGGGCTGCGGATCTTGTGTGACGAGGTCCTGTCAAACTCCTCAGGAAACCTTCGCAAGCACACGAAAAAAAGAAAAAAGAAAAAGTGCAAAGGCCATCAACAATGACTGTCAATGTAAGCATATGATAAAACAATCTAAGAAAAGTTGCTTTTTTAAATATTTCATGCCGTGGACATACTGGCATATTTATATAGCGTCTCTATCTCTTGATGGCACACCCACCCGTTCTCTGCTGTTCCCGCTCAGATGTGCACAATGACACAAAGTTAGCATGCTTCGAAGTGGTTCTGACATCAATCCCCATCGCCAAAAGCTTACCTCGTCCTCCCTCCATGGCTTGCCTCCATGTTTCTGCTGTTTGCGGTATGTTTAAAGATTTTTCCCAAATTTTCTCTGACTGTCCTTTTGATGGCATATCTATTTTCTGGTGATGAGAGTTCTCCTTCCCCCAGTCCACTTTTTCACTGCACTCTGCTGCATCACATTAAGCCTTTCCCCTGCTCCTGCACACACTTCACTAATTATTGCCTAACCTAGATTAAAATCAACAAAACTGCTTCTTTCTTCAGTGTAGCTATGCAATCGCTTTAAGACACCACGACATGCATGACCTTCAAATATTGATTCATGTGGTGGCTCTGCCATCTTTAAGAGCCAGTAAGTTCAGACCTAAAATATGGCAGCTTGTCTTGTAAGTAAAAGGCCACATCGACCGCACCGAATACTGATCATAGCAGAAAGTGAGCGCACATTTCTAGTCAACTATTTGTGAAACTACATAAACAGCATATTGATAAAGGAAACTGTCATTTTAACCCAATCGATACCACTTCAGTGTTTATCGAAGAGCCTCCATCTCTCTGTTCATTTGTAGTTCAGATAGACACAAACGCAAAAAATAAAAGAACAATAGAGTGATAGATGCATGACTCTACAACATTCTCAACTCACTTATCTTGAAGCCGTTTCATAACTTCAACGTCGATCATGTGTGCCATGTGCGAGGGGACCTTGCGTGTCTCGTAGCCAAATGCGGTGTTGAACAACCGGTTCACATGCCGCAGAGAGTCCCCAAAGGTGTCTAGCAAGCGCCGCCCCCGCCACCTGGTGCGCTCTGTCGCTGCCTCCATGCGCCTCTGCTAAGACATGAACAATTAATTGAGGTGACGATGTCCACTTCAAGCTAATAAGCTGTCACAACAAATTTGGCCACAATAAGTGCTACAGTAAAAAAGCTTGTTTTATAGAAGATTTTCACCACAGCATTAGGTTGTCCTAATGTCACGAGGAACTTATGATTACCACAGTAGAACACGCACACAGTGGAACTCCAGCTTTACAACTTTAAGGGTGCCAGGAAAAAATGTTGCATAATAGGAAAACTAAGAATATAGGCACCATCCTCACTCACTCTTGCCCAAAAAATGTTTTCAGACCACCTGAATACACATACAATGTAGACATGCACTGCTCCAATGTGGTAGAGGTAATCATTAAAGAAAATGACAATGAAGCATTTAACTGGAATATGTGTGCAGGCAAATATCTACTCTCACATTTAAAAATTTGGGATCTTACGTACAACTCTGTTCCATGAAAACAAGGCCAGAAATTGGCTACCCATTAAGATTCCTGTATTTCACCATCAATGAGCATGTACCTTGTTTACCTTGCCTGTCGCTCCTCTTTATTTCTCTCTCTTGCTCTCTGTACAGAAGCTCAGCTTTTACAGTAACTGATATTAAAGTTTGTATCCGCTAAAATATTTAGTAACTGATATGAAAGTTTTAATCCACTAAAATGTTTAGTTCTGACCACAGTGTAACATGTCACAGATGCTTTACTTGTCTTCACAAAAAAAATATTGACCTGTGATACATTTTCTGCATTGGAACAGATGTTGGTTGATAACATTTTTAACACACTTCTCTGCTCAGTAGTAAAGTACTCTGTCACAGAAAAGTGTGCCTTGATAGCAAACTCAAAGAGAGAAAACACATGCCCGTGCCAAGCAAAAAAAGCAGGGCACTCATTTGCATTTGCCAGCAGGTTCCATCAGGAGGGAATGGGTTTGGTTACCACCTGCAGCCAAGCTGTTGGTATTCTTACTATTTTCTTTAATTTATCATCAAAACATTCTAGTGAAAGAAGGCGGTTTAACCCATGCCTTCATTGGTTTCATATCTGGTGTATTCATAATGATGGTAGACGTTAAAAAAAAACTCAATTTCTCTTCATATCATTCATCTACAAGCACAGCAATCCAGTTATTAGTACTTCTGTAAGTTTGTGCCTCCCATAAGGTAATATTCCTACAGCTTTAAATGCTACCCAATGACAGCCTCGCACTCATCTCCTAGCCTAGTTTGCACATAAATGCACTAATAGTTTCAACACACGTTGTCCCTCGTAGCATGTGATTGAAATTTTGAAGTGCATTCAAGTATCATAGCAATAATGTGTAAGGTTTTACTTGCCGAAACCATGATATTGCCGCGGCATCTTGCCTGAATTTGAACAACGCATCCAACATCGCGTGCACAGGGACACACATACACACCGTATTGTGCCACGCAGAGACGATGATGGCACGAGCACCCAGCTGGACCCGGCTAATATACGCCACGCGCTCGGGATATCTTTCGCAAAGGAAGAAGGAGGCGGCTCAAGGACATCTTTTGTGCTCGACTGATGCGTAGCTCTACACCCATAATCACTTTGAGCTGTGGGCACAGGTGCGCCCTTCTAATAAATACATTTTTTACGATGGGGGCAGGAATGCTGTAGACCCGTGTGATCAGATTTGGGCACACGTTAAAGAACCCCAGGTGGTAGAGATTTCCGGAGCCCTCCACTACGGCGCTTCTCATCATCATATTGTAGTTTTGGGACAATAAACCCCATATATCAATCAATCAATACGTTTTTATCCCCCCCACCCGCCCCCCCCGAGTCCTTCAACATCGCTATGAGTGCAAGACAGCATAGTCCCAACCACCAGCGAGCCGATCCTGTGGAGCTGACATCTGTGCATCAGAGGGCCAGTCGCCATCTTCAAGGTGACTCACCAGAGCTCAGTCCACTCCACGCTGAGGGGAACTTAGTCAATGGACGCCACCACCATGACTAGCCAGGTAACACCGGCACATGTGGTGATCAATCAACCTCACCAGCCACCAGTATTTCATGGCGACTCGTACAAAGACGCAGAATATTGGCTGAACCTCTTTGAGAGAGTGGCAAGTTTGAATGATTGGGACGAGAGAGAGAAGCTCTGCCGTGTATACTTTGCTTTGGAGGACTTTACAAAGATGTGGTATGCGAAACGTGAAACCTCCTCGCCTACCTAGGATGAATTTCGGCGACAAGCTCTGGCTACTTATGCTAGCACCGATTGCAAAAAAAAGGCGCAGGCTGCTATTGAAACCAGAAACCAACTCACCAACGAAAGTGTTGCAATGTACATCGAGGACATGATCCGCCCACTCAAGCATGCAGATTCCAATATGGCTGAAGATAAGCTGCGCCACCTCATGTGTGGGGTGAAGCAAGAGCTATTCACTGTTCTCGCTGTTCACCCACTAAGAACAGTTGTGGAGCTTCATGCGGAAGCAACAGCCATCGAGAAAACACAAGAACTGTGGGCTTGACATTACAATCGGGACATAAACTGCACAGCTGCCAATGCCTTCTCTGGAGGCCTGCGAAATGACATAGAAGCCCTCCGAGAACTCATCAGATCAGTGATCGGGAAAGAGCTCAGCAAGTTGGAAGCACCTCACATTAAAGCAGCACTGTCTGTCGTCGACGCAATACGAGATGAACTGAGGCAGATCATACACGAGCTGCAGCGGGAGCCGAAAGCGATCCGACGCATCCCAACGTACTGTGAAATGCTCAGACAACCAGCAGCACACAGCAATGTAGCAGTTGCGACGGCCACTCCTCACCCACCAACGGTACGCAGCGCATCTCGTCCACTGGAACCAACGGCTACACACACGCCCGTAGTGTAGCTCGCTACGTGACTCAAAGGCTCCAGAAAAGTGACATCTGGAGTGACCTTGAGTGTAGGCCTTTGTGTTTTCATTGTGGGAAAGCAGGTCACCTATACAGGTTCTGCCCTTACCGACAGGCAGGATTGAGTGGCTTTCCGTTGTACACACGATGCCCTCGAACGGTGAACGGCCAGCGGAGATCGAAGAGTACCTGTCCACAAGCCAGAGTCCACTCACTCCATGCCAACATCAGCCGAGATCGCCATCGCCCAGGCGTTGCCAATCACCCAGCCCACGTGCATCTTCCACACGGCTTGGGTACCGTTCTACAAGCTTACACCTAGAAAACTGAAGCAAGCGACCTGTTGAGGTGAGGCCGCTGGTAACTACAGTAACGAGGATCCTCCATCACGGTCTCAGGGTGACGATGCTATGTTTTCAGAGGATAAGAGCAGCAGCGCAAACATAACTTCAGATTTCCAGTTAAAAATAGACGGATACGAGCTGAGTGCTTTAGTTGACACCGGCCCTGATTATTCGGTAATGAGTCAAAAATTGGCATAGAAACTGAAGAAGGTTGTGACGAAATGGAGTGGGGCACACATACGCACAGCAGGTGGCCACACTATTACGCCGCTTGGCAGATGCACCTCAAGGCATGAAATAAGAGGCTTTACTTAGTTGCCAAATTCATCGTACTGCCAGAATGTTCAAAGGAGCTTATATTGGGAATAGACTTTCTGCAAGCCAACAGAGCCATAATTAATCTGCGCAGATCCAGTGTAACGTTTTTGACCGAAGATGCTATGTAGGGTGGAAAAATCAGAAAAGCGATGTCTTACTGCTCTGCGCAATGTTGATGATGACGTCACAGTGCCACCACGCTGTAGTGTAATAATGCTTATCGAAAATAAGGCATTTTGTGACCACAAAGGAGTAGCAGATGAAAATATAGGGCTCTTCTTAAAAGAATACGTGTGGCGAGGGGTTTTGATTCACTCAACAAATGGCCATGCAAATGTCTTCCTTGCGAAATTTGGTAATGAATGTCAACACATCGCGCAAAGTATGGCTATCGCCTATTCCCACGAATTCTGCATGACGACCAAACTATGCAGCTTAGCGACAACACCAACCACTCCATGAGAGACCTGCAACGTTGACGCACCAGTTAACGTCAACCATAGACTCTGAGAAAATCAAAACAAACGATTGTGCTTCTCAACCTACTTCTCAACAAACAAACGAACTGCTTCTCAACCTACTCAAAGGTGCCACGCACAGCTATTACGGAACACAGGATTATAACAGAAGAAGCCACGAGACCAGTATGCCAGCACCCATATTCAGTATCAGAAAAGAAAAAAGACGTCGTCAAGGAACAAGTGGAAGAGATGCTTTCAGATGACATGATCCAGGCTTCCAGCAGTCCATGAGTGCCTCCCGTAGTGCTTGTTAAAAAAAATAACAACACCCTTTCTTCTGCATAGGCTATCGTAAACTGAACAGCGTAACCAAACGGGACGTATACCCTCTGCCAGGTATTGATGATACACTCGACCGGCTACGGAGTACAAAATTTTTCTCCTCCTTTGATCTCAAGAGCGGATATTGGTTAATTGAGGTGGATGAGCGGGACCGTGAAAAGACAGCATTAGTAACCGCAGACAGCCTCTTCAAACTTAAAGCACTTCCATTCGGCCTGTGCACAGCGTCAGAGACGTTTCCGAGAATTATGGATGCTTATCTCGCAGGACTGAAATGGCAGTCTTGCTTGGTGTACTTGGATGACGTCGTATTTACCGCTACATTTACTGACATCTAGTGCAACTCCGCACAGTATTGAAGGCCATCAGTTCAGCAGACTTGACCGTCAAACCAGGAAAATTCCACCTCAGCTTCGAAGAGCTGCGATTCCTTGAACCGACATCAGCTCCGAAGGCGTTCGTCCAGATCCCGAAAAGATAGCTGATGTCGCGAAGTTCCCGACACCCAAAGACAAGAAGTCAGTACATCGCTTCCTAGGTTTATGCCCATACTATATGCGATTTGTCGAAAATTTTTCATATATTGCTGAACCACTTACTAATCTAACAAAAGACGACGTTCCCTTTATGTGAGAAAGTGAACAACAGGAAGCC